AGATTGAAACGCGTGAGCATGGGAAGCAACTACAAGAACCGAATGAGGTCCTTTCCTATGTACTTTCTATGTTTTTTTTTTTATTATCACTGTTTCGTTTTCTATGAATTTATACTGATTAGGGCTTGAATTCCTTGCCCTCGAGGTACTTTGTAGTGGAAAATGCTTTCTGTATCTATTATACGGGTGATAGACAGCGTATTATATAGATTTACAATAGACAAAAACCCTAGATTAAAACCCTAAATATAGAGTTGTTATATACTTTGTGGACTTGATGCAGTTTGTGCTCGACTATCCGAAGGAATACATCACCGTAGTCGAGGGAACCTATAATAGGATCGAGGCCTATGCTAGCGACATCGTTACATCGCTATCCTTCAAAACATCGCAGCAGAGATCTTCCCCGACCTTTGGAACTCCGGTTGGTACAAAGTTTGTTCTTGAACTCGACGGTGGCAAACTTGTTGGGTTCCATGGACGAGCAGGCGACGCTCTACGCTCTTGACGCTATCGGGGCGTATTTCGCATGGACCTCTCCCGTTACTAAGGTCGACGCCCAAGGTGGTCCTGGAGGACAACCATGGGTTGACGGCTTTTATTACAATGTAAGGAAAGTATATGTCGGAAAGGGCATACATCCTTGCTTAGGTTATGTCAAGTTCGAGTACGACAACCACGGCAAACTGGAAACGCGTGATCATGGAAAGCAAGTAGAAGAACCTCAAGAGGTCTGAAAGAAAAATTTCATGATAATATTTTCATTTGAATCGATTACATTTTGTTTATATGTATTATTCTTGATTCGGTTACAATCCATATTCTCTTGATGTAAAATTATTGCAGTTTTCGCTAGATCATCCACATGAATACATAACATCGGTGGAGGGAACCTACGGCTGGATCGAAGCTTACGCCAATAACATCGTTACATCCCTTACCTTCAAAACGTCCAAGAAGAGAACCTCCCCGACGTTCGGAAACTCGACCGGTACGACATTTGTTCTCGGCGTTCAGGACAAACGTCATAAAATTGTCGGGTTCCATGGACGATCCGGTGATGCGGTTGATGCTATTGGAGCATATTTTTCACCGATTTCGAAGAATCCAACTCACGGATGACCAATATCGTAGTTGGAGTGAAGAACGTTCTTCATGAACAATAGAAACCGATATTGCTATATAAGATGTAAGAAATAAAACCGTCAGCTTATCATGCTTTTTAGATGAAGAGTTAATAAGTTATGTTCCCGCTTTGTTTTTCTTTTATGGTTAAGCATCCTATTTGGTTCTGAATTTAAACCGATCTAAACCAAATCTGGTTTTTAATTTAAACCGATTTAAACCAAAGTCTGAAAATGTTACAGAAAAATCTGGCTTCAGGGCTCATATCAAGCGTAAAAATTGGTAGGACCTTCATCGAGAGAGGGAAAATTTTTAGAATTCTCCTTCGATTTCGATTAGGGTTTTCTCCGCCCGCAGGATTTCGATTAGGGTCTTCAATGTAAAGATCTTGAATTTGCAGGAATTGTATCCTAAAAAGGGTTAAATTTTTGGGGAAAAGTAGAGAGCAAGAGAAATCAGAACTCTGGTGATTCGATGAAGACAGCCAGCAGAACTTCTCTATCCCCCCTTCCGCGGACACCCTTCCTGTGAATCTCATCTCCCTCCGTCTTCTCCTTTCGAACATGGCGATGATGTTTGAATCGTCGAAGGGGGCGTTCCCAGCGAGGAGAACGAAGAGGATTGCCCCACACGACCATGCGTCGGCTTTCGCACCGTCGTAGCCCCACCGTGCTACATCCTCCGGCGCTGTGTAAGCCGGCGTGCCGCACGCCCCGTGGAGCAATACATCGTTTTCAGGTTCGCCGTTTCGGTGGCAGAATTGGAGCTACGATGAACATGGCAGAATTGGTTTTTTGTTTTTGTTTTTTTTTTCCCCTCTAAATTTTGGTTCGGTTTACATTAAAAAACCAGATTTGGTTTAGATCGGTTCAAATTCAGAACTAAATATGATGATGTGTCATTTTTATTTAAAAAAGCTGACGTGGCAATTCTCAATTTAAATGTGTTGGCGTAACGTTGTGGCTATCGATCCGACGTTACACATGGAAATCCGACCAACTGAAAAATTGGTCAAACTGGTCATTTTATAGTATTATCTTCATTTTTCCTTTCTTTGGTTTGGGCCCAGGTAATCCAATGGGCCTTTGATATAGAAAGGCTTGTTACTTTCCAATCCATAAATTATCTTTTAATTTTAAATCCAATCCACATAATATATATCTTTTAATTTCTAAAGATCAAATACCTTGCGGCTATTAATCTAATAGCTTCAGAATAAAGGGAAAAAAAAAAAAGAAACATGCCATTTTTTAAGATTAAACGACTAATAAAACCATACGGTAATCATGATACAAGGCTGACTTATGCTGCGATTGTCGTCTATGCATGCATATGCTTATGCATTCATACATATCCCATAAGATTTTTGGTAGCTAGCTTCCATTCATCGTTGAGTTCAATTCACGTGATACAAAGGCTGACTTTGTGATCCAATAACCACGAAGAACACGATAATATTATATCGTAAAACGGATATAATCGGTTCCCTCCTATATATATATAAATTTTCATAAATGGACTGGCGCACCGATCATCCATGGTATAGATTCAGATCTCTTTTGTATTTTCGCAGGAAAACTTACGAGATTAATATAGGAAAGCTAAAAAAGAATCCTTACGAGATCAGCGGATCCGTGCGGATCTTTTGTTCTTTCTATGACAGCGACATCCAAAACATCTTTCACGAGGCGGATACATATATAACAAAACATTTCATGACATATTTCCGCGTATTAATGTCGAAAGTGACTGAAAGGGATTTGATGGCTTTTTTTTCCTTCGACTAATTCGTGTAAATAGTTAAATTACGCAATCTAGGCAGAAAATATTAGCGAATAAAGTCGGTTAGGTCCGGTTTAATATTTGGTCTTGCTAGGTTTATTTTAGGTTAAATGGGTGAAAAAATCGATATTGTATACCACCTCCTTCATTTGATGACTCTTCGGACTCATTTTTCAAATTATGTCTTCATTTATCTCTTTCTGGTTGATTTCTTCATATACAATCATGATTATCGTTGTCTTTATGGTTTTATTAGTCGTTTAAAACATGTTTCATTTTTTTTTCTTTATTAAGAAGTTATTAAATCAACACTAACAAGGTGTTTGATCTTTAGAAATTAAAAGATAATTTATGGTTTGGATCTAAAATTAAAACATCACTTTTAAAGATATGTAATATCTATAGTTCATCTTGCTTTTTTTTAAAGTATTTTTTGCTCTTAAATTTTATTTCCATTTGTATTATATTTTCACATTTATTGTTTTTGGAAGTTCTTATAAATGGTTAAACTGTCAATATCAAAATTAGATAAAACAAATTGCATATTTCTTTTCCCGTGAAATTATCAAATGATTTCATCTTTAGAAATTAAAAGATAATGGTCAAATTTTAAATAGTTGGATCTAAAATATAAAATATGATGTTAAAATAATATTGAGACCTATTGAAAACGTTTTTGTCCTTGGAATCCTGTTTTCATCAATGAAGACGACTAAGAAGAAAATAATATAGAAGAGCAAAATTAGATTGATGGTATGTATATATTACTATATTTTCATATATGATATCTATCGTATTAATTTCACATTATTTATATATTTATAAGCATACTTTTATACATTTTATACTTCAACATTGATGTTTTTCGAGGAAATTGAGCCATGACAAATGAACGTGGAAGAAACCCGAAACACTTAGAGCAAATCATTCAGAGAGCTCGATCATCTATAGATAACTGAATTCTGAGTAAATAACTCAGAGAGCACGACACGGTTGGCCTATCGTGCTCCTCTTATCATGCTTGCAGAAGTGCAAGTCTTTGTCCAACTTTCGCGAGCGGCATCATCATGCTTTTCTTGTCGACGATCGATCATATAGTCAGTTGATGATGTGTATATAGACGCTCATATAACAAATATCGTCATCATCGTGGTACTAGGGTTGGTTAATTTATCTAGGGTTGAGGATCTTTAGCTTCGGAGTGATAATGGTGGACGGCGAGGTGACGAAAATGGCGACGGCGGAGAGCCTAATATATACAATACCTATTTTTTTTTTTTTTTGAGTTTTTTCCTTGCGGCCGTTGCCGTTTAAACTTGGGAAGTTTACATAGACTATCAGATGCCTTGTTACACATGAATTAGGATGAGCTATCTCCCTTTAAGATTTTTCAAATCAGAACCATCTTGTATATCCTGTTTTGTATACATACATACATACATACATACATACATACATACATACATACATACATACATACATACATACATACATACATACATACATACATACATACATACATACATACATACATACATACATACATACATACATACATACATACATACATACATACATACATACATACATACATACATACATACATACATACATACATACATACATACATACATACATACATACATACATACATACATACATACATACATACATACATACATACATACATACATACATACATACATACATACATACATACATACATACATACATACATACATACATACATACATACATACATACATACATACATACATACATACATACATACATACATACATACATACATACATACATACATACATACATACATACATACATACATACATACATACATACATACATACATACATACATACATACATACATACATACATCGAAAACATTGAACAAAGACGTGTTGGATGTCACTGGACACTGGGGCAATGATTGTAAGTGAAAGAACAAATTAAAGAGATTAGCCAAATCTACACCGAAACATTGAACAAAGAAGATAATACGAAAAAGAGTTCACACCAAAAGGCCTATAAATATACATTCCAATACGACCTTTCCCTCACTCGTCATCAAACGTAGAGCTCACAAACCCACAGGTCACTCACTCGGTTCTTTAACTAATAAATTATATATCCAAATTTTCTTTATATGATCCTGTTTATATATTTTCTTTACTCTCTCAGTTCTGTAACGTGTCGTAATTGGAACAGTGTATTGGTTTGGCGACAAACCGTTGTTGTTACATTGTGTTCTCCTTTGGTTTTCAGAAGATTGTTCAAATCGACCGGCGACAATGTCTCAAAAATTGCCAATCGTGGACGTCACGCCTACTGTGGAACCATGTGCTGGTCAGATCAGGTTACCGGTCGTCGGTGGTAATGGAGGAGGCGCATGGGACTTTTGCGGCTCCGACCGTATAACCAAAGTATATGTCGGGAAAGGTCACTCTTGTATTGGTTATATCAAGATCGAGGGCACGCTGGATGGCAAATTCCAAACACAAGAGCATGGTCAGATGGTAGATACACCAATAGAGGTACTGTTCCACTTCGGGCGCTTTTGTATATGGCTATCATTTTCCACGATTAGTTCTTGAAATGTTTTCTTGAATTGCTAACGAGGCATTTCCAATATTTTGTTTTTGTTTTTTTTTATTTAAAATTGAAAATCGTCGCAGTTTGCGGTTGGTCCTGATGAATACATCGTAGCGGTGGAGGGAACCACTAACTACGTCGATCGATATAAAACCACTCTCGTCACTTCGCTCACCTTCAAAACATCGACCGGAAGATCCTCACCGACTTTTGGATCTGTGTCTGGTAAAAAGTTTGTAATTCAAGACAAAGGTCGTGAGCTTGCTGGGTTCCACGGACAGGCTGGTGAGGCTATTGATGCTCTTGGAGGCTATTCCGCCGTCGCCTCGAAACTGCCTATCCATGGTGGTATTGGAGGAGGGTTATGGGATCTTGGTGCTCTCGTCAATGTAAGGAAGGTGTCTGTTGGAAATGGTCACTCTTGTATCGGTTACATCAAGTTCGAGTACGAAGAGAATGGAGGAACCAAAACCAATGAGCGTGGATCCATAGTAGATGAACCACAAGAGGTACGTACTTTTGTCATTTATATATGTATATTTGAAAACTAATTTCTATCATGATTATCTTTTGATCACACACGTTTTGTCGCAGTTTGCGCTCGATCCGAACGAATACATCATATCTGTGGAGGGAACCACCGGCTATACCAATCGATACAAAACCCATCTTGTCACGTCGCTTATGTTCAAGACATCAGCCGGGAGAACCTCACCAAGGTTTGGATTCGACAGGGGGGACAAATTCGTAATCGAAGACAAAGGCCGCATGATTGTTGGGTTCCATGGACTGTCTGGTGAAGCTATAGATGCTCTTGGAGCTCGTTCCTCGATCATGGCTTCCCCTATCAAGTGGCCAGTCGCAGGTGGTAATGGAGGAGACGTGTGGGATGATGGTGTCTATGACCGTGTAAGGAAAGTGCATGTCGGAAATGGTCGATCTTGTATCGGCCATATCAAGTTTGAGTACGAGAAGGATGGAAAAATCGAAATACGTGAGCATGGATGGATAGAAGCTCCACCAGTGGAGGTACTTTAGTACTTAAACTTTCGTATATACATTTTCTACGGTTTCGTTCTTCATATGCATTTTCTCGTTTATTTATATATTTGAAAAATTATTGCAGTTTGCCCTTAATCCTAACGAATACATCATATCGGTGGAGGGAACGACCAACCACGTCCCGCTGTATAAAACCACTATCGTGACATCACTCTCCTTCAAAACATCAACGGGAAGAACCTCCCCGACTTATGGATTTGTGACTGGTGAGAAATTTGTGCTCGAGGACAGAGGTCGGGAGATTGTAGGATTCCACGGACAGGCAGGTGAGGCGATCGATGCCATCGGAATTCATTCCTCGATCGTTTCGAAATTGCCAATCCAAGGAGGTAAGAATGGGAGTGCATGGGATGATGGGGCTTTTGACGGTGTCACCAGAGTGTTTGTTGGAGATGCCGACTCTTTCATAGGTTACATAAAGTTCGAATACACCAAGAATGGTAATGACGTGACATATGAACATGGAACTAAACCAACCAAAACTCACCAGGTGCGCTCTTTTTGTTTTGTATGGTTTTATTGTTTTACACAAGCGATCTTGTATTCTATGTTGAAAAAATTGTATATATACGCAGTTTGAGCTTGATCCTTACGAGTACATCACATCGGTGGAAGGAACCCACAACTATGTCGATTTGTTCAAGACAAATGTCATAACATCGCTTGTCTTCAAAACATCCCGAGGAAGAACCTCCCAAACGTTTGGAGCTGCGGTTGGTACAAAATTCGTACTGGAGGACAATGGTCGCGAGATTGTTGGGTTCCATGGACGGGCTGGTGTCGCTGTCGATGCTCTCGGAGCTTACGCCTTTCTCGGTACCAATCCCGTGTGATGATCTATGCATCATCATCGCTTCTTCTCTGAAGGAAAGCCGTAGATTCATAAAAATGTTGGAGTCGAATAAAACAAAACAAAAGCTTCTCTTGTGTGTAATATAAAAGCTGTACGTGTGAAGTGTACTGTTCCTTGATATTTCGGTCTGTTGTGTTTTTTTTTTCTCTCATGTCTGTAATATTTGTCTGTTTGAATAAAGCTTTCCTTACTGGTTGCTCCTTGTGTTTCATCAAAAGATCCTTTCGTCTTTGTTTGGTTTTGCTTTTGAGTCCGGTCTTGTTAGCCCGATCATACTCTAACCTAAAACATCACAAAGTCAGCCTTGTACCACGTGAATTCAATTCAACGATGAAAGCTGGCTGATAGCAATCTTTTGGACGTACGTATGAATGCATGCATGCATAGACAATCGTAGAAAACGACAATAGACGCTGTTTCATAATCCTGTTATTTTGGATATAAAATTATTTAAAAATGCATATTTTACGAAAATTTTTCTTTAACCAGAAGTATATATACCGTATATATCTTTTTGTAGTTACCTCATATAATAAGCAAAGCATGATGTATCAAGGGGTCTCTGTAAACTAACACCACTTGGCATAGTTGCAATTTCAAAAACCAGTAATATCGATCGATCCACCGACCAAAACATATGGTATAATTAATATGAATTTAAGTTACGGAAATCCGCAATCTTTGGAAAGATACATATGGCCTCAATTATGTGTCTGAATGCATTTATTTTACCTTCATAAGATATAAAATTATAATGATATTTTAATATTAAAACATCAAACTTGAGTATATAAAAGAAATTATGTATAAATATATTCGATAAAAATTAAATTAAGTATTATTATTTTTTTGTATATTTTATAAATTTGTGCCGAGTTGGTTTGCTAGGTTCGTTTTCAAACAAATTTTAAAAAATACGGGCTCGATTCGATTCGCAACGAATTGAAAACGAGCCAGCCCGCTTGATGAGTTTGTTTTGACGTCCTAATAACACTTACCAAGTTGCAATTAAAAAACCTAAACCATGGGTCGATCGACTGACCAAAACATATGATCTAATTAATATGAATTTAGGTTACAAAGATCCGCAATCTTTGGAAAGGCCTCGGCTGTGTCTGAATGCATTTATTTTACCTTCATAAAGATAGGATATCGTACTGAATGGACTTTTTATAACTGTTCTATCGTCAACTATGTTGGGTCGTGAGGCCCAATAGTTTGTTGGGCCCAAATTAGAAGGCCCATCAATCAAAGCCGTAATGAGCAGACTGCCACCGCCTTTATTTCACTTTTATATCCCTACCCTTGGAAATTCGAAATATTTCAGGGGTGAGAAAAGTATGCTTCCTCCGGCCCCGGTTTGCTCCACCGGAAAGATTCCGATAGTCATTGAGGACCTCCTCCATCGCCGGTGGTTCGTCGCCGTCCTTGCCATCTTTCCCCATCACAATCAGCACCTACAGGAAAACGCTAAAAGCCGAAGCCTTTCTCTTCTTTGGTTTTTTTCGCTATTCCTTTTTTCCCCTGTCCTGTTCTCGCTGTGCGGGCCCCACTTACAAGCCCTAATCCTTTTCCCGGCCAAAAACGGCGGCGCTAGAGACGGCGATGGCGAAAACGGCGGAACAAACATAATCACGAAGTATCACATATCAAATTCCGGCATCAACGAGACGGAACTCCTGCGTCTCTTCTCGTCTATGCCTTGTCGCAACTTGGTTTCTCAGGTAACTTCACTCGATCACATATCAAATTCCGCAAAGCTTGAAATGTTGTAAATTTCGCGAATATAGATATTGTAGGGTATATTTTGACTAATCGCTTGAAGATTTGGAGTGGATGCAGAACGACCACGTCACATCTCTGTGCCAGTTGTTGACTTATGATTTCTCTTCGCAATTTCAATGAGAAAATCAGAGAAAGTTAACATTCGACGGGAAACGAAAGAGGCAAAGGGAGAAGGTAACGGGTGCTTCTCTTTGTCTCTTGATCTCCAACAATTCAAGAAACTCCGCCATATTGATAGCTTTCACAGATTCAAGAGGCAAAGGATGGGAGACAAATGATTTTGTTGTTGCGAAGAGGTAATGTTCGCTATATTGAACTGTTTCTAATTAACAGATTTGACACAATCTGCTCATGAAATGCATTCAAGTACTGAGATCCGGTGCCCTGTTTCTGCACTTGTAACCTGAACTAAGGGAAGAAGCTAGTCTATCTTGCTTAACATCAACTAAAGAACAGTTTTTTTCTGTCACTTTAAGTCAGCCTAACGGCTCTGTATCTCACACCAATGGGAGTCAGCCAGATATCTGCCCTATCTGGATAGGAATAATGGGTTTTTTTTTATTATTACTGTATGGTTTGCTACTTTGCTCATTTTGTAGATTCTTTTGGCAGACTCTAAACCATATTGGTCTCCGCATTGTGCTAGATGTTCTTGATGTGGAGTAGTCTGTTTGGTTGACTTTACTGACAAATGCATTCCCTTAGATTGTTCCAGGATGACCCATGATGGTTTTATTGAAAACAGTAGACGCTGCCGGCGAGCATTTTATGATGCATGATGATGATCTCTTAATTATAAGGTGCTCTCATTCTCCACTCTCTTCCTCTTTAGACAACGCGGAAACCTTCTCCTTTCCTTTCTTCATCCTGTCAGCATTTTTTTGTCTTTGTTAATTCTCGTTGTCTGATCATGTGCTGATACTATCAGGTTGATGGGTTCCGGTTAGACCTCATGGGTCATCAAATGAAATCTACCATGGTAAACAGCTTTGGTGTCCCTCTCTATTTAAGATTTACATGCTTCTCGTAATATGCTCAAGGGAGAAGGCGTGGTGATTTCTATAGAATGTCCCCGTGATAATAGTTTAAATTTTCATCAAGATCATTCTCAAAAGTTTGTTTGTCTTAAAGATTTCTATAAAATGCCTCGATGAAAACAGCTTTGATGGCTCAAGTATTTACTTGTAGGTCTTGGTTCATGATCAAAGATACGTGCTTTTAGGACACTGTTTCTCTTGTCTGTAGTCATATTATTTGGGTGTGCTAAACATTCGTCTGATGTGGCGAAGTTCCTGGTGCTTCGGGTTTTATTAGAATTGAATATTCTCGTATTTAGGGTGTCAAACGAGTCGACTCAGATCGTTTGAGGTTCGGCTCGTTTGGCTCGCATCGTTTTGGGTTCAGCTCGTTAGGCTCGTTTTCTAACGAGTAAGAAAAATCTCGATTCAGATCTCTCGTCAGTTTTCCGATCTGAATGAATCAGTTCGGTGAGCCAAAGGTATATAATATTTTTTATTTATATATATTCCAAATTTAACTATTAATTTAAATAAATACATAAAAAATTAATAAAACTCCAATATCATAAACTACATGTAAAAAAATATTGGTTGAGTTTTCAAAAGATAAAAAATAATCTAACTTCAATAAAAAAATAATTTAAATAGATTTATAACAACAAAATATATTTTAATAACATTTTCATATTTATACTTTAATTTTTATTTAATATTTGTAATTATCACCATCATAATAATTAGGATATTTATAATATCATATGAATGATATGGAAAAAATATAAAATTATATTAGAGTTTTTTTATATACATTTTTTTTTTAAATTAGCTCGTTAAGCAATTCGCCAGTTCGCCGAGCCACGTTCATTGAAAACGTGTTCAATGAGTCTATCTCGTTAGGTTCGTTTTTTAATAAACTGAAAAAATTATGGCTCAAATCGTTCGTTTTTTGGTGAGCCACGAGTTGGCTCAAATCGCTCGTTTTCTGGCGAGCCACGAATCGGCTCGCGAGTCGAGTTCGTTTTGACATTCTACTCATATTACGGGATTAATATATTTTACCAAAAAATAATAATAAAGCTTTAGGCTGCAGTAAAAACGGAGTCTTAGTCATTATATATTTACATTTTTATGTTATTACATAAAAGTGTTTTTTTTTTTTGTAAATTTTTATCGGAAATTTGTTTTATCAAATTTTATTTCATCACTCCTTACTTCTGAGGTAAGATAGAGAGTTTGGAATCTCTGCAACCGATAAGAGGAAAGGAGAAGTGGTTGCATCGTGTATTTACTATTTAGTAAAAGAAAAAGTAAAAAGCTTTTCATAAAGTAATCATGTCCACGCATCTTTACATAAAAGGGGACTTTGGACTCCATTATCGTTCGGATATACGACTTTTTTAAATGTTTAATTGAATATGCGTATTCTTCGTAATATACGTAGAACTCAATTTCAGTAAGGAAAAAAATGGTGTAAATTTATAAAAAAAACGATAAAAACAAAAATAAAAATGGCATAGGTCATCATGCTGTTCTCTAATTGTTATCAAAAGCAAGTACAAAAAAAAATCAAACAAAATCGCAAATATGTGAATTCTCCTTATTTATTAACGTCTCTTTACAAATTATGAGAAAATAATACATAAGTTATAATTTTTTTGATAAATCATGTTTTTTTTCCTAATGCATAAATCCTTTGTAAATCTTATTTTTTTTAAATATCGGATTTTCGGACCGGTTCGACTCGAGTCCGAAGTCCGATTCAAGTCCGGTCCGAAAGTCCGATTCAAGTACGGTCCGAAAATCCGATTTTTTCGGACAAAAAAATTTAGGTACAAAATCCGCTAATTTTTAGGCTGGACCGGACCGGACTTCTGGTCTCGGACGGACTTCGGGTCTCGGACCTAAATTGACACCCAAGGATAGCATCTAAATCGACACGACATTTGAAAATTGAAACCGTTACATCTTATTTAACACGTGATCCAAATGCTATCCAAGTTTGGTACTCCTCTTTTTCAGCATTTCAGTAATTTTCTGATTACTTTTACAAACACATACACATATATTTAGATACATACATACATATATGCATTTATATATATATACATGTATAGAACTAGAGAAATGTTATTAATATTTTTAAATTTTATATGTTCACATGAAATTTTGAAAAATATTTATAACTCATAAGAAAAATAAGAGTTTTTGTTATTGTTTTTTTTTTTGGAAAAATTTGAGAGTTCATATGGGATGTTTTAAAAAACAACATTTTTATAAATAATGGTAGGGAATATTTACATTGCAGATGTGATGGACAAATAGTGGTAAAGTAAAAGAGTAATAACAAGATAAGAAAGCATGAGGGTCAATAAATATCCTTTGTATCCTCCAACCAAATGGCTCACTCGCCATCCCCATCATCATTATCATCTCTCTCTCTCTCTCTCTGCAAATCCTAACTCAGGTACTCTCTCTCTCTCTCTCTCTCTCTCTCTCTCTCTCTTGTATCTTCGTAATTTTTTTTTTTTGTAAATTAAAGACATCAAAGTTCGAGTCTTTAGGCTTCACAGTTGAAATTCTCTGCAAATCGATCTATCACCGGAGAGATCGGTTCGGTTCGGTTTAATACGATGTAGATTTCTATTGAAACCCTATATAAAATTTTCTATCCCATATTAATTTCACAAATCAATTAAAATGATATAAACAAATCTATAATTTAATTTAATTATCATGACAAGTATTATGTAGCACGTCGCATATGCGGTGTGATTGCCGGTTTTCTGCATTTACAATACCCATATAAAGTTTCTTCATCTTGCTTCTTCGGCCTTTTGCCCGGCACCTTCAGTTCGCCTTTCGGTTGCAGTAATCTATGTATGTATAGTTGAGTATTCCAAATATAAGGAAATGGATATCCGAAAACACTGGCTGGACCTGTAATTTTTATATTAGATTGGAATTTTTATTTAATAATCAGATAAATATTTATTTTAGATCGTGATAATTTTATTATCTAGAGGTGAGCATTTCAGTTCGGTTTTTCAAAACCGATTAAAACCGAAACAGCTCGAAACAAAAAATTAGTATCATTTTCGAATCGAACCGTCTAAAAATTTCGAATGGTAATTTTTTAGAAAATCGATATTACGAAACTTAATTATCTAAATCGAATATTAACAAACCTGAAAAAAAAATTGTTAAACAAATTTATATATTTTTTTAAAATAAAAATCGAATCCAATAGAAACGAATGTAATTGATTGGTACACATTTTCTAAATATATACAGTACCGAAATCAAACCGAATACCGAGACTTCCGCCTCAAAAATCATTAAGTAAGAACCGGTTGTAATATTATCCAGGTAAATAATTTCTGACTGTGATGCAATTACATGGGATCAAAGTTTTGTGTTGGCCTAGGTTAACTAGAATTTCACCGCGGGAAAAAAATGACGTCATGGGACGACGGGAAACACACGAAGGTGAAGAAAGTGCAAATTACGTATGGTGACGTCATCAATTCCGTTGAGTTCGAATACAACAGTAACGGCAAAACTTTAACGTCACCGAGACGCGGCGGTGTCGGAAGCAAATCCGATGGGGTTAGTGAATATTATTATATTCCCTCATTAAATAATTATCAGTAATTTATTTATTTTATTTTGAATTTCAAATTAGTCTCATGGGTTTTAAAGGGAAACTTAAACAAAATATTATATTTTATTTTAAATAAGCTATATTTTTATTAATTTTTTTGGTGTTTGGGTTGAATCTTGAACTGTAGTTCACGTTGACACCGGACGAGTACATAACGGAAGTGACTGGTTACCACACGACCAGACCGAACGGGCAGGAAGTTATAACGGCGTTAACGTTCAAGACCAATCAAAGAACACTTGGTCCGTACGGAAACAAAACCAGAAACTACTTCTCCGTCAACTCTCCCAAGGACAATCAGATCGTCGGTTTCAATGGAAGCAGCAGCGATGTCCTTCACTCCATCGACGTTCACTTTGGCCCCATAGTCGCCGCCGGAACCGGATCCGGAACGGGACCGGGAGCCGGTGGAGCGGAAAAAGTGGAAGCACAAGGAGGAAAAGGAGGCAATGGATGGGATGACGGAGCGAATCACGACGGTGTGAGGAAGATTGTGGTCGGAGCTGGTCGGAAAGGCATTCACTACGTCAAGTTCGGTTACGACAAGAGTGGACAGCTCGAAGATGCGCCACTCCACGGATCTGCAACTGGAGCATCTTCTCCAACACAGGTATATATATAAACTAACATGAAAAGCTCTCTACTTTTACGTTTAGATGTTTTTATTAACTTGAAATACATAGCACACAACAATTTTGTTATCTTTGTTTCACATTAATCTCTTGACAGTTTGAAATCGACCATCCCGACGAGTATATTATATCGGTCGTGGGCCACCATGACGGTGGCATCATTCAGGGACTTCAATTCAAAACCAACAAGAAGGATTCTCAGGTCTTTGGTTATGCCGACGGTACTAAGTTCACGCTCGAGGTCAAAGACAAGAAGATTGTCGGTTTCCATGGATTCGCTGACACGACTCTCAATTCTCTTGGAGCGTACTTTAGACCCATTTCCTCCTCCTCGTCGTCTTCAATTGATAAAGTGGAACTTTCTCTTGGAGCTTATTTCGCTCCACCGACCACTCCATTGGCTCCACCCAATAACTGAGAACAGCTCAACCCAAGCCTCTCCATGAAAGTGTGCGGTCCGAGTGTGAATAAGCTGTTTCCTTTACTTTAGTTGTGGGAAACACACGAAGGTGAAGAAAGTGCAGATTACGTATGGTGACGTCATCAACTCCGTCGAGTTCGAATACGACGACAACGGCAACGCTCTCAAGTCACAGCGACATGGCAATGTCGGAAATCAATCAGATGGGGTAAGTTTCAGTTATGTTCCGATTTCCACATTCAATTTTTAAATCCTAAATCCTATAACCGTAATCTAATTTTGAAAATGTCATTGCTTAGAACTTAGAAGAAAAGGTTGAGACTTGAGGTAGTTCTTTTGGGTTGAAATTATAGTAACTGGTTGAATGGTCGAATTTTTATTTTTGCAATACAGTAAATTAATAAAGCTTTCCGTTTTAAATTTGTTATAAAAATCTATTATTTTTTTAACAAATTAGATTATTTGTATTTTTTTTTAGTTTGTGCTAAAAGAAACCATATGTTTTTTTTTACATTTGAATTAAAACAAAAATAATTTTACCTTTATTTTTTTTTACTTTGGTTGAAATGTGGGTTTGTTGTAGTTCACGCTGAAACCCGACGAGTACATAACGGACGTCACTGGTTACTACACGACCAGACCGAACGGGCAAGAAGTTATAACGGCGTTAACGTTTACGACCAACAAAGGAACATATGGTTCTTACGGAAAGAAAACCAGAAACTACTTCTCCGTCAACTCTCCCAAGGACAATCAGATCGTCGGTTTCAATGGAAGCAGCAGCGATGTCCTTCACTCCATCGACGTTCACTTTGGCCCCATAGTCGCCGCCGGAACCGGATCCGGAACGGGACCGGGAGCCGGTGGAGCGGAAAAAGTGGAAGCACAAGGAGGAAAAGGAGGCAATGGATGGGATGACGGAGCGAATCACGACGGTGTGAGGAAGATTGTGGTCGGAGCTGGTCGGAAAGGCATTCACTACGTCAAGTTCGGTTACGACAAGAGCGGACAGCTCGAAGATGCGCCACTCCACGGATCTGCAACTGGAGCATCTTCTCCAACACAGGTATATATATAAACTAACATGAAAAGCTCTCTACTTTTACGTTTAGATGTTTTTATTAACTTGAAATACATAGCGCACAACAATTTTGTTATCTTTGTTTCACTTTAATCTCTTGACAGTTTGAAATCGACCATCCCGACGAGTATATTATATCGGTCGTGGGCCACCATGACGGTGGCATCATTCAGGGACTTCAATTCAAAACCAACAAGAAGGATTCTCAGGTCTTTGGTTATGCCGACGGTACTAAGTTCACGCTCGAGGTCAAAGACAAGAAGATTGTCGGTTTCCATGGATTCGCTGACACGACTCTCAATTCTCTTGGAGCGTACTTTAGACCCATTTCCTCCTCCTCGTCGTCTTCAATTGATAAAGTGGAAGCCCAAGGAGGTAAAGGAGGCAATGAATGGGATGATGGATCAAATCACGACGGCGTGAAAAAGATTGTCGTTGGAGTTGGGAGGAAAGGCGTCCACTACGTCAAATTCGATTACAACAAAAGCGGACAGCTCGAGGCTGCACCACTCCATGGCTCTACTAATGGAGCTTCTTCCCCATCTTTTGCAGTACAAAACTTCAAACTTTGACACTTTTGCACCTTTATTGAGTTTGATCCATTTTCGTGATCTCTCTTCCTTTGTGAATTGTGATCTCTGCAGTTTGAGATTGACCATCCCGACGAGTACATCCTGTCAGTTGTGGGTTACTACAATGTTGAAAACATTCAGGGTCTACAATTCAAAACCAACAAGAAAGAATCTCAGGTTTTTGGATACGACGACGGTACTAAGTTCACGCTCGAGGTCAACAACAAGAAGATTGTCGGGTTCCATGGATTTGCCGATAGAACTCTCAATTCTCTCGGAGCTCACTTTGCGCCGACGAGTAGTACCACTCCTTCTGCAGCGAATAAATTGGAAGCCCGAGGCGGTAAAGGCGAAACTGTTTTCGATGATGGAGCTTTCGACGGTGTGAGAAAAGTGTATGTCGGACAAGGTGATTCCAGTGTGGCTTACGTCAAGTTCGAGTATGACAAAGGTGGAAACGTCGAACAACGTGATTACGGGAAGAAGACGATGCTCGGTACAGAAGAGGTAGTAGTTTTCTTCGTCTACCTCTAACATTTTTCTTGATTTGTGTTCTTGATTCGCTTACTAATAAGGCCTTTCTCTTTTTCGGGTCGGAAACGATTGCAGTTCGAGCTCGAGCAGGGCGAGTACATCACGTCGGTGGAGGGATACCACGACAAAATCTTCGGCTATAAAGCCGAGGTTATCACGGCTCTCATTTTCAAGACATCCAAGGGGAGAACCTCTCCACCGTACGGAATCACGGCCGGAACGAAATTCGAACTGGACGGCAAAGGCGGCAAGCTGGTCGGGTTCCACGGAAGCGTAGGAGAAGTTCTTCATTCTCTTGGAGCTTATTTCGCTCCACCGACCACTCCATTGGCTCCACCCAATAACTGAGAACAGCTCAACCCAAGCCTCTCCATGAAAGTGTGCGGTCCGAGTGTGAATAAGCTGTTTCCTTTACTTTAGTTGTGTTGTTTCGTGTCGCCATGTTTGTTCTGTGACTCTGTCTTTGATTATGAAAGGATGTGTCCATGAATAAGGGAGGCTTGGCCAATCTCTATGTATGGTCATATTTAATATATATACAGTTTGAACACAGCTTATCATAACGATTATGGTCAAATAAGAATAAAGAAAACATTAAAAGGGATATAAAAAAAAAAGACACCCTTGAATGAATATTGGAGAAATGTGCTGATCATCATTTTATTTCTCATTATTTAAGATAACCAATTATAGATATGAAATAAAATCTTACCATATTTTATTTATTGAACAAAAATCTCTAAAATAAAAAAAAATTAAGTTTAAAACATTACATAATATTATTATAATCTTCTAATATATTCATCATATTTTTGATACACCAATACACTCTAATAGACCAAAAAAACCACTTGCTTAATAATGAAATTTCGAAAGAAAAAAATCGTTGGATTTAAAACTATAAAAAGCACGACGTAAATTGCGCGTGTTAATGATCAGAGTTTCCAATCGCTAATTCGTGTAACTTATCCCGTAATGAAAAAAATATGTTGAGGATAATTGGATTTGTTATTATTTAAAATAAAAAAATTAGGAAAAATCACAAAATAATACATCAGTTTATATAAAAATTCCGCGTTAATACAACTTAAACTTTTAAAATTTTTTCCATATAACTCCATATCATCTCACGCCGTTAATTTTTCGACAGAATCCGTCAAAAAATTAGGCATTTGAAATGTCAATCAGTTGTCACGACACATCAGTTAAAATTGGAAATGAAATTAAAACAAACCGAAACCCCTAATTTAACTAAACCGAACCGATTCCTTTAAAAACAGTCCTAAATCCCTAACTTCAGAAATTGCGATTCACTCCTTCAAGAATCTTCTCCTTTTTTGAATGAAATCCTAAATGTGAAAGGTTTGGTTATCGGACTCCCAGAATCTGTGTTTCTCGGCGGCGTCGAAGCCGGAGATACAAAGATTCTTCTAGATTTTCTGTAATTTTCCCATTCATCTTCTCCGCTTGGGGTTTTCGATCGTTGTCCCCAACTGAATCCGGGTCGAGCCGATAACCCGGTTTGTTTCTCGGAGAATTCTCCTTACGCTTGGATTTTCGACGGAAATTATGGATCGAGACCGATGATCACTTGCGCCATGTGCGATTAAATGGCGCACCGATGGCGGAGTAAGGCGTCTCGGGTCTCCATTGGATCCTGGTTGGGTTTGCGGCTTGGATCACCTGATTCGAACCTGACCCGTGCAAGTGACTTTCGGAGATGTCTAGAGTTCGTTTCCCATTTACGGCATTCTAAGCAAAGTATAACGTATTAAGAGACGCAAAGGAAAGGATAGAATCAAGAGACGCCCTCCTAGCTTCTCTTGGTTATATACGCACACCCATTCCCAGGCACAGTTCATCGCTGCAATCATCGCAAAACCCAACTGAGGTACTCTCTCTCTCTTTAATCACATGTTTCTCGAATATTATTTTTCCAAATCTGTATTGCTTCTCTTTTTACTTTATGAATGAAAGGAAAGTAAGAGAGAAGATAAAATGGTTACATAGGAAATGATGAAAGAAGATGATTTGTTTTCAAATTCTGAAAAATATTTGAGATCTTGCTAGTAAAATAGTCGAAGGCAGAAACATTTTCATATCCTTTGGTATATACAATTTTGAATATATATATATATTTGGTTTTGAATATAACATTACGCAAATAAAAAAAAACCCTTCAAATTATATAACAGCAAATGTTTCTATAGATAGATTTCGAAATATATTAACTTGTCAAAACTAAATTTGATTTTATGGCGATATATTTTTTATTTACTAATGGATCCGTGACAAAATTATGTATATCCGATAATGTATATAGAGAGGAGCGGCAAGGATGCCGGATTGGGATGACGGCAATCACGAGAAGGTGAAAAAGGTGAAGGTCACGTACACCAACAACACCATCTACTCGATACAGGCCGATTACTGCGACAATGACGACACCGTTCATGGTGAGGTTCACGGTCGCAAAGTCGGAAGCCAATCTGCTGAGGTTTATATTTCTTTGTTAATCATCAAGTGATATATATATATATATATATATAAATCTAATACTGTTTTATAACTCGATTCAATTGGAAAATCATAAATTCGCAGATTGAGTTGAACGCAGACGAGTACCTCACGGAAGTGGATATCTACGAATCCACCTATTCAGCTTCATTCACGTTCAAGAGCAACCAAAGAAGTTTTGGTCCCTATGGAACAACGTATCCAAATTATCATCACAGAGAGATAAAATCGCCGGAAGGCAGCCATATTGTAGGGTTCCATGGCAAGAGCAATGATTATCTTGACCGTCTTTATGTTCATTTCGGACCCATAAACTCGTCCGGAATCGTGAAGTTGGAAGCACAAGGACGTAAGGAAGGCCTAAGATGGGACGACGGAGAAAATCACGACGGCATCAAGAATATTATGGTCGGAGTTGGTCACAAGGGCGTCCACTACGTCAAGTTCGACTACGACAAGAGCGGACTACTCAACGATGCACCCGTCCATGGGGTTCGAGACCAAACATTCTCACTACCACCAGTATGAGATTTCTGAAATTTTTGTCTTTATACTTTTGATTGGCATTGCTCTGCTTCAACAGTTATGGCAGTTATTGTCTCTTGACAGTTTGAAATCGACCGTCCCGACGAGTATCTAGTATCGGCGGTGGGTTACCATGAGGATGGCATCATTCAGGGTCTTCAATTCAAAACCAACAAGAGAGAATCCCATATCTTTGGATATAGCGACGGTACCAAGTTTACACTTGAGGTCAAAGACAAAAAGATTGTCGGCTTCCATGGATATGTCGGTATTGCTCTCAACTCCATTGGAGCTTGCTTTGTACCCATTTCCTCCTCCTCGTCGTCTTTGTTAAACAAATCGGGAACCCAAGGTGGTAAAGGAGGCAAACAGTGGGACGACGGAGCGGATCACAACGGGGTTACAAAGATAGTAGCTGGAGTTGGTCGGAAAGGTGTTCACTACGTTAAATTTGAATACGACAAGAACGGACAACTGGAAGAGGGACCAATCAGAGGGCTCCCAACAGGAACATTGCCGCAACCGTACACAGTATAAGCTTCTGCCACTGCATCTTTAGTTTTTTTTTTTGTGTGTATAATCTGCTTCTTTAAAATGTTACAATCCATGCAGTTTGACATCGACCATCCGAATGAGTATCTCATTTCCGTCGTTGGTTACTATGAGGGTGACAACGTTATCGGTCTACGTTTTCGAACCAACGAAAGGGAATCTCAAGTAATCGGATATAGCGACGAGGGTACTAATTTCATACTCGAAGGCAAGAACAAGAAGATTGCCGGGTTCCATGGATTTGCCGATACGACCCTCAATTCTCTTGGAGCTTACTTTGTGCCCATCCTGTCATCATTGCCATCTTCCACTGATAAACTGGAAGCTCAAGGTGGTAAAGGAGGGGAAGAATGGGACGACTTTGCAGATCACGACGGCATAAGAAATGTGGCCGTCGGGCTTGGTCGGAAAGGCGTTCACTACATCAAGTTTGGTTACGACAAGAGTGGACAGCTTAAAGATGGACCAATACACGGACTTACGAATGGAACACTCTCCCCGCCACCGACTGTAAGAATTTATTAATTATGATGAATTTAAATTACTCTCAACTTGAATCTAATTTAATAACCATGTATGTACAGTTTGAGATTGATCATCCTAATGAATATCTCATATCGTTCGTGGGTTATTACAACGATAACATCATCCAAGGTCTTCAATTCAAAACCAACAAGAGGGAATCTCAAGTCTTTGGTTATGGAAAGGGTACTAAGTTTACACTCGAGGTCAAGGACAAGAAGAAGATTGTCGGCTTCCATGGATACGCTGAAACTTGTCTCAATTCCCTCGGGGCTTACTTAGCACCGGTTTCCTCCCCACCCCGGTCCTCTGTCGATAAATCGGAAGCCCATGGTGCTAAAGAGGAGATCATATTTGATGACGGTGTGATAAATGTTGAAATAAAACCCTAATCTTGATTTCAAGTTTAATTTCGGATCATTAATCCATGGAAATTAAACTGTAACCAAAATTAATTCATCATCTCACGGCGAAGATTATGCCCAAGCGTCTGTTGTTTTTCTGCATATGTTGCGTATCAAATTAGTCCTCTATATATAAGGTCAAATTGATTATTTGGTTTCGCAATTAATTTCTCTATTATAAACATTATATTTTCATATGGAAGAATAATGACTTCTGCAAGAAATAAACTGCTTTATCTTTACAAACTCGTTCGATTACAAAAATAAACATGGACAATAATTTTACCGTTTGTCATTCTCGTTCTTATCCATTACAACCGTGGTTAAAATTTGGTTTTGACTGTTGGAATAAAACCGGCCTGAACGAAAGGATCCAATCCTGGTTTACTCTCGGTTCCCTTTGATTCCTCTTCGGTTGTCATCGGTTACTCTAAACTTCTACGAAATTACTAAATTGCCATCAGTGAAACTCTGCATGAACTAGAAACTCTCAAAGCTTTCAAACACTCTCGCTTGCTCGGAAGTTTCCCCTTGTCGTTACACGATAGCTAATCACATATTTAGACGTCGTCGGATAATAGATTATTAATTCACATAAAGCCCTGTTAATTCATTATGATAATGCTTGGTCCCATAAACAACATTAACGTTACGAGAACCAAGCGGGCCACAAAATATTATATAACAAAGTCAATAAATATCATGAAATTAGGACCGAGAGGGTCAATAAGTATCATGAAATTGTCCCATCATCATCATCATCCCTCTCTCAGACTCTCTCTCTCTGCAAATCCTGAGTCAGGTATTCTCTCTCTCTCTCTCTCTGGTTTTAATGGAAGCTGTTCAACGTCATTTGAATAAGGGGTTTGATTCTTCATAATCCATATATCATCCCCTATTTCTGTTTTCTCCTGCTTTTTCATCTTTTTTAACCTTATCGATGTTTAGTAATAATATATACAAATCCATCGTACAAATTATTTAGCTAAATACTAATTACCGTTCATTACCATTCCATTGTTCAGTTTCAATTTTACCAGTGCCGATATCATTTATTTATTTTATTCTATAATTATGTTTGATGACAGTGTAAATGGCCAGAGTAATTTAGAATGTCGAGTTTTCAGCTAATAAATAACCTCTGAACATGTTTTCCAAAGAAAAAAAAAAAAAACTCTGAACATGTTCTTCGCATATATCACTCACAAATGAGTAAAATAAACATTATTTTTGTGGTCAATTATTACAGCGACTATACTAATTATATTAAAGGCAACAGATAACCCATAATTAAAAGTCAATATTCATAATATCTACAGATCCGAAAATAATTAAACCAGAGAGCGTTGGGCCAAGTGCGACTAAATGACGAACCGACGGCGGAGTAAGGCGCCTCGGGTGGGGTCGGGTCTCCATCGGATCCTGGTTGGATCACCTGATTCGAACTTGACCCGTGCAAGCGAGTTTCGGGGATATCTAGAATTGTTTTCCATTTACGAGATTCTAAGCAAAAGCATAACGTATTAAGAGATACAAAGGAAAGGATGGAGTCAAAGAGACACCCTAGTGTCTCCTCTTGGTTATATATACACAGCTCATCGCTACAATCATCATCTGTCTCCACAAGACCCAACCGAGGTACTCTCTCTAATCACATGTCTCTCGAATATTATTTTTCCATATTTGTATTACATAGACATTTAGATATTTTTATACTCTTTCATTACTTTATGAATGAAAGAAAAACAAGAGAGGATATTAAATGTTTACATAAGGAATGATGTAAAAAACGACATAAAAATGTGCATACGCTGTAGTATATGGACCACATATTCTCAATATATCGGTAATCATTGCTCCAAAAATCATTCGTCTCTACGTTAACAATTGTAAAACTCTAACAGAATGTTTCTATTGAACGATTTCGAAATATATCAACTTGTAAAAACTAAATTTGATTTTATGACGATATATTTTATTTTTGGAGTTTATTTACTAATGGATCCGATCCGTTACAAAAATATGTATATCCAACAATATATATGGAGGAGCGGCAAGGATGTCGGATTGGGATGACGGCAAGCACGACAAAGTGAAAAAGGTGAAGATCACGTACACTTCCTACGCCATCAACACGATACAGGTCGATTACTGCGACAATGGGGACACCGTTCATGGTGAGGCTCACGGTCCCAAAGTCGGAACAGAATCTGCTGAGGTTTACATCACTTCCTCCTACTCTAATTTTTTTCCTTTGTTAAACATCAAGTGATCAGCCGTGTGTATATTATATATGTGATCGATTCAATTGGAAAACCATAAATTCGCAGATTGAGTTGCACGAGGACGAGTACCTCACGGGAGTGAGTATCTACGAATACGAAACCTTTATAGATGCATTAACGTTCAACAGCAACCAAAGAAGTTTTGGACCTTATGGAAACCCTGCTTCAAGTTCTCCCAGAGTGATAATATCGCCGGAAGGCAACCACATCGTACGGTTCTATGGCAAGAGCGGCAATTATCTCGAAAGTCTTAAAGTCCACTTCAGACCCATAAACTCGTCCGGAATCGTGAAGTTGGATGCACAAGGACGTAAGGAAGGCCAAAGATGGGACGACGGAGAGAATCACGATGGCGTCAAGAATATTGTGGTCGGAGTTGGTCACAAGGGTGTCCACTACGTCAAGTTCGACTACGACAAGAGCGGACTACTCCATGATGCACCCTTCCATGGGGTTCGAGACCAAACATTCTCACTACCACCGGTATGAAGTTTCTGAAATTTCTGTCTTTATACTTTTGATTGGCATTGCTCTGCTTCAACGGTTACGGAAGTTATTGTCTCTTGACAGTTCGAAATCGACCATCCGGACGAGTATCTTATCTCGGTCGTAGGTTATCATGATGGTGTTACCGTCCATGGCCTTCAATTCAAAACCAACAAAAGAGAATCTCGAGCCTTTGGGTATAGCGAGGGGAACAAGTTTACGCTCGTGGTCAAGGACAAGAAGATAGTCGGCTTCTATGGATATGCTGGCATTACTCTCAACTCTCTCGAAGCTTACTTCGTACCCATTGTCTCCTCGTCAACCAATAAATCGGAAACCCAAGGTGGCAAAGGAGGCAAACAATGGGACGACGGAGCGGATCACGACGGGGTTACAAAGATAGTAGCCGGAGTTGGTCGGAAAGGCGTTCACTACGTTAAATTTGAATACGACAAGAACGGACAACTCGAAGACGGGCCAATCAGAGGGCTCGCAACTGGAACATTGTCACAACCGTACATAGTAAGCTTTTGCCACTAAATCTTTAGGTTTTTTTGTTTTGTTTGTGGGTATAATCTGCTTCTTTAAAATGTTACGTACAATCCGTGCAGTTTGACATCAACCATCCGAATGAGTATCTCATTTCCGTCTTTGGTTACTATGAGGGTGACAACGTTATCGGTCTACGTTTTCGGACGAACGAAAGGGAATCTCAAGTAATCGGATATAGCGACGAGGGTACTAATTTCATACTCGAGGGCAAGAACAAGAAGATTGCCGGGTTCCATGGATTTGCCGATACGACCCTCAATTCTCTTGGAGCTTACTTTGTGCCCATCCCGTCATTATTGCCACCTTCCACTGATAAACTGGAAGCTCAAGGCGGTAAAGGAGGGGAAGAATGGGACGACTTAGCAGATCACGACGGCATAAGAAATGTGACCGTCGGGGTCGGTTGGAAAGGCGTTCACTACATCAAGTTTGGTTACGACAAGAGTGGACAGCTCAAAGATGGACCAATACACGGACTTACGAATGGAACACTCTCCCCGCCACCCACTGTAAGAATTTATTCTGACTAATTTAAATCACTCTCAACATTTGATTAATTGAATATCCATGCAATGATATTTGTGTACGTGCAGTTTGAGATCGACCATCCTAATGAATATCTCGTATCGTTCGTGGGTTACTACGACGATAACATCATCCAAGGCCTTCGATTCAAAACCAACAAGAGGGAATCTCAGGTGTTTGGTTATGGAAAGGGTACCAAGTTTACACTCGAGGTCAAGGACAAGAAGAAGATTGTCGGCTTCCATGGATACGCTGAAACTTACCTCAATTCCCTCGGGGCTTACTTTACACTGTCTTTTGTCAATTAATCGGAAGCCCATGGCGCTAAAGAGTTCATATTTGATGACGTTGTAGGCATTATATTTCATATGGAAGAATAATGACTTCTACAAGAAATAAACTGCTTTATTTTTGTAAACTCGTTCGATTACAAAAATAAACATCGACAATAATTTTACCGTTTGTCATTCTCATTATTATCCATTACAACCGTGGTTAAAATTTGGTTTTGACTGTTGGAATAAAACCGGCCTGAACGAAAGGATCCAATCCTGGTTTACTCTCGGTTTCCTTTGATTCTTTCTTCGGTTGTCATCGGTTACTCTAAACTTCAACGAAATTACTAAATTGCCATCAGTGAAACTCTGGATGAACTAGAAACTCTTCGCTTGCTCAGAAGTTTCCCCTTGTCGTTACACGGTAGCTAATCACATATTTAGACGACGTAATAAATTATTAATTCACATAAAGCCCTGCTAATTCATTATGATAATGCTTGGTCCCATAAAATAATATGCTTGATTCCCACCTAAAGCCGTGTGACACTGGAATTTGAAGAATAAACAACATTAACGTTATACGAGAACCAAGCGGGTCAATAAATATTATATAACAAAGTCAATAAATATCATGAAATTAGGACCGAGAGGTTCAATAAGTATCATGAAATTGTCCCGTCATCATCATCCCTCTCTCTCTCTCTCTGCAAAGCCTGAGTCAGGTATTCTCTCTCTCTCTCTGGTTTTAATGGAAGCTGTTCAACGTCATTTGAATAAGGGGTTTGATTCCACATAATCCATGTATCATCCCCTATTTATGCTTTCTCCTGCTTTTTCATCTTTTTTAACTTTATCGATGTTTAGTAATAATATATACAAATTTATCGTACAAATTATTTAGCTAAATACTAATTACCGTTCATTACCATTCCATTGTTCAGTTTCGATTTTACCAGTGCCAATATCATTTATTTACTTTATTCTATAATTATGTTTGATGACAGTGTAAATGGCCAGAGTAATTTAGAATTTCGAGTTTTCAGCTAATAAATAACCTCTGAACATGTTTACCAAAAAAAAAAAACCTCTGAACATGTTCTTCCCATCTAACACTCACAAATGAGTAAAATAACATTATTTTGGGGTCAATTATTACAGCGACTATACTAATTATATTAAAGGCAACAAATACCTACCCATAATTAAAAGTCAATGATGTATAAAAGTCAATATTCATACTATCTACATATCCGAAAATAATTAAAACTGTGTGGTTTTGATATCTTGTAACAAAATGATATTAATGGAATTTTGTGTTACTCAATGATATTAATATATATATAGTTAAATATTGGTTTGATTTTTTAGTTTAGCTTTGGTTAAGGTTTGTTAATAGAGATTCTTTTTTCTCTTTTTCTATTTGTATTTAAAGAATTTATCATGAATGAATAATAGAGAAAAAAAAAATCTACCTTCGGTTCTGAAATAGCAGATTTTTTTCCCTTCTTCCATCTCGTCATTTTTCCTATTCCTTTGAAGATTTTGATTTCTTATTATTTGTATACAAATCTAAACACGGAGGAGGATAAGGAAGGCGAAGGTGATGAAGATGAAGTTAATGCTATCTTGCACATAAGGTGTTCGATAAAATTACTCTGACGCAAACATTTCATTTACTTCATCTTCTGCATCTCTACAGTTTTCTATAATCCTTACCCACTCTTCTTCTCCATTTTTCTTCTCTATCTCTCTAACATAGTGGGGTTTTTTTTTCTGTCATCTTCTCGTCTCTCACCCCCTCTCAAGCGCCCGCGTTCTCTCCCTCCTCTCTCTCCGTCTTTCGTTTGTCGCTCTCTCTCTCTGTGTGTGTCGACGACGGGGGCCACCCCTTTCTCTCTCATCTGTCCATCTCTCTCTTCATTGGTTCTATGTTCCCCCCGGTAAGTCTCTCTCTCTCCTTCTTCTTCGTTCCTTCTCCTCGCGTCAACTTTGGCCATCTTCGATCTGGTCTGTCTCTTGGATGCAGTAGGGAGCAAAGTAGCCACCGGATTTGGGATGCTTTGTCGATTTCCCTTTCGATGCGTATTCCGCCGGTTGTCGGATTCACATGGATTATTCTCATGTTCCATCACTTCACATGCATTATATCCGAGTCAAACATATTCTAAATTATAATATTTGTTTCGTTGTCGAATCAGAGTAAGTAAAGATTCACTGCGGTAAAAAAAATGTCCTGGGACGACGGAAAACACACGAAGGTGAAGAAAGTGCAGATTACGTATGGTGACGTCATCAACTCCGTCGAGTTCGAATACGACGACAACGGCAACGCTCTCAAGTCACAGCGACATGGCAATGTCGGAAATCAATCAGATGGGGTAAGTTTCAGTTATGTTCCGATTTCCACATTCAATTTTTAAATCCTAAATCCTATAACCGTAATCTAATTTTGAAAATGTCATTGCTTAGAACTTAGAAGAAAAGGTTGAGACTTGAGGTAGTTCTTTTGGGTTGAAATTATAGTAACTGGTTGAATGGTCGAATTTTTATTTTTGCAATACAGTAAATTAATAAAGCTTTCCGTTTTAAATTTGTTATAAAAATCTATTATTTTTTTAACAAATTAGATTATTTGTATTTTTTTTTAGTTTGTGCTAAAAGAAACCATATGTTTTTTTTTACATTTGAATTAAAACAAAAATAATTTTACCTTTATTTTTTTTTACTTTGGTTGAAATGTGGGTTTGTTGTAGTTCACGCTGAAACCCGACGAGTACATAACGGACGTCACTGGTTACTACACGACCAGACCGAACGGGCAAGAAGTTATAACGGCGTTAACGTTTACGACCAACAAAGGAACATATGGTTCTTACGGAAAGAAAACCAGAAACTACTTCTCCGTCAACTCTCCCAAGGACAATCAGATCGTCGGTTTCAATGGAAGCAGCAGCGATGTCCTTCACTCCATCGACGTTCACTTTGGCCCCATAGTCGCCGCCGGAACCGGATCCGGAACGGGACCGGGAGCCGGTGGAGCGGAAAAAGTGGAAGCACAAGGAGGAAAAGGAGGCAATGGATGGGATGACGGAGCGAATCACGACGGTGTGAGGAAGATTGTGGTCGGAGCTGGTCGGAAAGGCATTCACTACGTCAAGTTCGGTTACGACAAGAGCGGACAGCTCGAAGATGCGCCACTCCACGGATCTGCAACTGGAGCATCTTCTCCAACACAGGTATATATATAAACTAACATGAAAAGCTCTCTACTTTTACGTTTAGATGTTTTTATTAACTTGAAATACATAGCGCACAACAATTTTGTTATCTTTGTTTCACTTTAATCTCTTGACAGTTTGAAATCGACCATCCCGACGAGTATATTATATCGGTCGTGGGCCACCATGACGGTGGCATCATTCAGGGACTTCAATTCAAAACCAACAAGAAGGATTCTCAGGTCTTTGGTTATGCCGACGGTACTAAGTTCACGCTCGAGGTCAAAGACAAGAAGATTGTCGGTTTCCATGGATTCGCTGACACGACTCTCAATTCTCTTGGAGCGTACTTTAGACCCATTTCCTCCTCCTCGTCGTCTTCAATTGATAAAGTGGAAGCCCAAGGAGGTAAAGGAGGCAATGAATGGGATGATGGGTCAAATCACGACGGCGTGAAAAAGATTGTCGTTGGAGTTGGGAGGAAAGGCGTCCACTACGTCAAATTCGATTACAACAAGAGCGGACAGCTCGAGGCTGCACCCCTCCATGGCTCTACTAATGGAGCTTCTTCCCCATCTTTTGCAGTACAAAACTTCAAACTTTGACACTTTTGCACCTTTATTGAGTTTGCTCCATTTTCGTGATCTCTCTTCCTTTGTGAATTGTGATCTCTGCAGTTTGAGATTGACCATCCCGACGAGTACATCCTGTCGGTTGTGGGTTACTACAATGTTGAAAACATTCAGGGTCTACAATTCAAAACCAACAAGAAGGAATCTCAGGTTTTTGGATACGACGACGGTACTAAGTTCACGCTCGAGGTCAACAACAAGAAGATTGTCGGGTTCCATGGATTTGCCGATAGAACTCTCAATTCTCTTGGTGCTCATTTTGCACCTGCGGGTAGCACCACTTCTTCTGCAGTGAATAAATTGGAAGCCCAAGGCGGTAAAGGCGAAACTGTTTTCGATGATGGAGCTTTCGACGGTGTGAGAAAAGTGTACGTGGGACAAGGTGATTCCGGTGTGGCTTATGTCAAGTTCGAGTACGACAAAGGTGGCAACTTGGAATCACGTGATCATGGGACGATGACAATGCTTGGTACTGAAGAGGTATTAGTTTCTTCTTCTACCTCTAACGTTGTCCTGGTCGGTGTTCTTGATTGGCTTACGAGGTCTTTTGTTTTGTGTCGGAAACGATTTCAGTTCGAGCTCGAGCAGGGTGAATACATCACATCGGTGGAGGGCTACTATGACAAAATCTTAGACTATCAAACTGAAGTTATCTCGGCTCTTATTTTCAAGACGTCCAAGGGGAGAACTTCCAAACAGTTTGGAATGGCGTCGAGTACGAAATTCGAACTGGACGGCAAAGGCGGCAAGCTGGTGGGGTTCCACGGCAGCGTTGGAGGAGAAGTTCTCCATTCTCTTGGAGCTTATTTTGCTCCATCGCCCACTCCACTGACTCCCGCCAAAAAGTGAGACTATAGCTAAAATCCATGTCTTTCCTTGAAAGTGTGTGGTCTGCTTTGATTATTTTTAACTTTATGTTGTTGTGTTCTGTCTTTTAATGATGAAACGTTTTGATATGAATGAAGGAATATCGAATAATATCTATGAACATGATTTCCGATATTATTTTTTTTGTAATCTCCAATTTGTTTGTCATGAATTAATGATTTAAAGTAGCGCCAATTGGAAGTTCAACAACAATACTCAAAAGATCATTAAATTTGATGTTTCGGTTTTTATTCAATAATAAATGTGTGAATGGTATGAATTTAAGTGCGCGGATTGATCTTAGGAAGTCCCAGTTGATTATTAGAATCATGGGACCACTAGAGAATAATCTAATAATTATTCTCTAGTAATGCCTCAAAGGCTCAAACAATGTTTTCGGTAATAATGATGGAAATTATATATATGTATATATAAAAGAAGACTAATAATAATAATGATGCGAAAGTCAATAAATATTATAGGAGTAGGTATCGCATCAAAAGGGTCAATACACTATGATAGAGTTGCCGCGTCATGGATCATCAATTTCATCATCATCTCTCTTGTCATAACGATTATTTCAAAAAGAGAATAAAGAAAACGTTAAAATGGATTAAAAAAAAGACACCCTTGGACGAATATTTGGAGAAATGTGTTGATACTCATTTTATTTTAAATTATTTAAAATAAACGATACATACGCATACACATACATAACATACATATATATATATATATTTTTGTGTATCAGTGTATATATGTATATATGTATGTATGCAATGAAACCGACCCCTGAACGACAGGATCCTAATCCTGGTTTACACTCGGTTTCCTTTAATTCTTCGGTTATTGCCGGTTACTCTAAACTTAATTGAATTTACTAAATTGCCATCAGTGAAACTCTGGATGAAGTAGAAACTCTCAAAGCTTTCAAACACTCTCCCTTGCTCGAAAGCTTCCCCCCTTGTCGTTACATGATAGCTATAATCACAGTTGGACGTCGTCGGATAATAGATTAGGGATAATCCCATATTCCCCCACCAATTTTACTTAAAGTTCCAATTTCCTACACGAATTTTGAATTTTCCAAAAAGTTACATCGAAATGAAAATCTTCCCAAATTACCCCACGAACTATTGAAATTGATTCCAATCTCATACACAACGGCTTACGGCGTGAAACGGAACACAATTCCGTTAAAATCGTAGGTGATATGGCACGACACGTCACAATAACTGTCCACATGTATACGCCACGTGTGAAATCGAAAAACCGCAAAATCACCAATTAAACCGAGTCGGTTTGCACATTTAACCGGAAAAAAAATTGAAAAAACATAAAAAAAAACCCAAATATGCTGTAACCTAATTCCTCAAAATCGAGCTCCTCTCTTCAAAACCCACACTCACTCTCATCCTTCCTCTCTCTCCAGATCGTCGACACCATCGTCGGCCGCAACTCCGGCTACAGTCGGCCTCAACTCCGGCGAGATTCGGACTTGAATCCGGCGACACTCGGCCCCGATACCGGAGACACTGTACTCGAGCGCGAACCTCTTCTCCTCCGGAGTGACGGTAATTTTCGATGGCTTTGTCCTCCTCCGACGTACTCGTCTGTGAACCTATCCTCCTCATTATGCCTTTACATTTTCGAATTTATAGGTTTTATTGGTTCATGTTAGATGAGTTTATTTTGATGTGGTATGATATGTTAAATGGGTATAGGCTGATGTGTTTGATTCTGTTTTGTGTTTCAGTTGTGTGTTTTTGGGATATAGGTTAATTTGGTAGAAGACCAAATTATGTTGTTTTTTGGGTGATTCGGTTAATCTAACCTCAATTTCCGAACAAACCAAGTCCAATTGTCGGTGTCTTCGATACGCACAACAGCCCAAGCAATTGGATAAATACCGTCATTGGCATCTCTACCTACTGCAGAAAGAAGTTCCCCTTTAAAGTCCCACTTCAAGAAACATCCATCTAACCCGATAACCGGACGACAATCAGGTAATGATTTTATTTGAAAATTGTTGTTTGATTGTTTAGAGGTGAATAACATTTTTTTCTGATGTAATGTGATATAGGGGAACCACTCTCACGTATTTAAATGGCTCGATGAAGCTATTGTCGAAGAAATCGAGGATATACATGTTGAACAACAACAACAAGGTGCTGAAATAGAACAGATGAAATCTAAATTGCAAAAACTGGAAACAGAGAAGGAAGAGTTGGAAACGAAGTTGGAAAAAACTGAAATAAAAAACCAAGAATTGGAAGGCAAGGTGGGAGAAATTGAAAAAGAGAAGAAGGAAATGGAATACAAATTGTTGGTGCTTTTGTTTATTTTTGTGTCAGTTTATATGTATTACTATGGTTTGTCTGTTATTTGAAGTTTTCCATGACATGTATGGATGGATGTGTTTGTAGTATTTGAAGAACGTTAGACAAGACTAGTTATTTTGTATCCATGGATCATGGTTGTTTAGAGACAATTTATCTAATATGAATTATGTATGGCTTTAAAAAGTGTGTGATCTGATATATATGTATACACATGTGTCTAAAACAGAATAAATTAGACCATAATATACCAAAAAAAAGGCATTACAAGACATGAACTCATAGATGCATACACATTGTCGTAAACCCAAAATAAAACATGAGTTCATAGATCCCATACACATTGTCTTAAACCGAAAATTAAACATGAGTAGATGTCATCCAAGACAACCCAAAATAAAACATCAGTAGATTCTCATAGTGTCATTTATAAAACATCAGTAGATTCTCATAGTGTCATTTCGATAGCAATAACAAATAAGGATCATATTCTTCAATCTCCTTGTACTTGTTTTCCTGATCTGCAAGCCAAGTAAAAAGAAAAAGACATGAATTTATTGTTATTAACGGGAACAAAATATTGTTGAAAAGAATGAAAAAAAACCCGACTTACCGAACATTAGAACTAGCATGTGACATATCAGCTTGCCTTGGTATTGAAAAAGACTGTGGAGGAGTTGTTGTAATCCTGACATTGCTTGGTACCATTCCAAGGAGACGACGACGTCTACTAGTGAGAGGAAGCCCGGACTGCATTGTCTGACTCGATTGAGTGGGTATGGAAGCACCTTTCATAGAAAAAAAATATGTGAATTGTAAGAAAAATATGAAAGTTATCGATTTCACCTTGAACAGAGTTACTTGATTGTGCATTGCTACTCGAAGGTGTATTGCTGGCCGATTGTGCATTGCTACTCGATGGTCTTGGTTCATTCTTGCACGTCTTTGCATTATGACCAGGTTGTTTGCAGAGTCTGCATCGGAAAACTCTTCCATGTCGGGTCATGTGACCGCTCTTTGATGTTGACTCTTGAGGCTCTTTGATTCTTTTGTGTTTTTTGGGTCGCCCGGTCATTCTTTTGGTGGTAGGGACACCAATTGGAGGTCTGTCTGATCTCGCCCAAGCCGGCTCACCATTTACGGGTAATATGTTATGTTCATAAATTGATCGCCATGTGGATGTCAGAAGGTAATGAGACATATACCTGCAAAATGGGAAGATAGTCCGTTATTCATGTACTATTGTCCAAACGTTATGTAAATACAAAAGAAAATAGAATTACCTTGAAAGGTTTTCTCGATTGACTTTTATGACAGCTAAGGAATGCTGGCAAGGGATACCTTTCAACTGCCATCGACGACAACCACACGTTCTTGCAGGCAAATCAACCGCATAACTAACCCCAAACTCAGACACCTCATATTTTCCGTGTCCACTCCGAATGATGTAACAATGACGAGATTTCTCACGAGACTTCTCTAAAGCTTTCATGATTCTCGGAGGAAACTCTGTTTTGCACCTTTCTGATTGACTTGCACGTCGCGCTATCCTCCGCATCGTACTCCTTCGAATATCTTCAAGCATATCAATCATGGGACGGCTACGCGCTTCTTTGATGGACCCATTGAAGCTCTCCGATAAGTTGTTGTTAACGTCATGACATTTAGTGTCCGGGTTAAAAAATGCACGACACCATTTCTTCGGTTGGGCCCTCATAAAACCATCATAAGCCAAAGGGTTATACATTCGGATATCACGTACATATTGACGAAACTCACTTTCTAGGTAGCTCTTGGCAGCCTTCCAAAACAGAAGTTTCAGTTCTAGGTCCTTGAATTGTTTCTTCCAATTCGCAAATACATGTCGTGTGCACATCCTATGCTCAGCAAAAGGTAACTGTCCTTCGATGGCATTCACCAAACCCTGGTCATAGTTAAATAGTAATAGTTAGAATCTTATGTCTATATAATGTATTTTAAACAAAATTAAGAAGTTAAACATACCTTCTGCTTGTCAGACAAAATGGTCAACTTTTCACCATCGCCCAAACGTAAATCTAACCTCAATTTCCGAACAAACCAAGTCCAATTGTCGGTGTCTTCGATACGCACAACAGCCCAAGCAATTGGATAAATACCGTCATTGGCATCTCTACCTACTGCAGAAAGAAGTTCCCCTTTAAAGTCCCACTTCAAGAAACATCCATCTAACCCGATAACCGGACGACAATGTCTTTTCCATGACTCTCGTAGGACATCGAAGCATACGTAGAATCTGTGAAACACCTGCTGCCCCGAAGCTGCGTTTGTTCCGATTTCAGTACTCGTATTGGGGTTTGAACGTTGCAGCTGTAACTCGAAGGCCCACCATTTCCTAAATTGGACTTCTTGATCTTCCCTAACAACTTTCAAGGCCAAACTTCTAGCCTTGAAACACTTGGTAAGCGAGACAGTCAAATTATGATCCCGTTGTATCTCATCCTGTATCTTTTTTCCCTTAAAACTCGGATCAGCCCTAATCTTCTCAACGTACAAGTTTGCTATTTGCCTCATCGTTAGCAGATTAGCAAACTTCTCCGCAATGTGGTTGTGATCGTCTTTATAGATCTTGATCATCCATTTATTGATTGGGACCTCAACCGAACAATAAATCCTCCATGGACAGCCCACGTTACAACACACTGCGGCCAATTTTGTTCGATCCCACCTGGACAACTTCACGTTGAAGTTTTTATTGATCACATAGTCAAACAATGTCTTCTTAAATTCTTCACCCGAATTGAAAGTTTTACCAAGATACAAGAACTCGTTACTCGGGAATGTTGTCGGAATCTTTGTCTTGGGCTTGTCAAAATTATCCCATTCTTCATCAGTTCCTTCAGGTGTGAGGGGGATATGATCATCACTATCTAAATAATCCTCACTCCAATTCACCTCTTCATCTTCAACAACATCAACTTCATCAACAACAGGAACTTCAACAAAATCATCATCACTACTTTCATATTCCCTAAATTCATCCATATAATCAGAAGACTCATCGTCATACCCAACTGTATCATCGCAGCATACATAATCATCTGTAATACCCCGAATCCCGATTTAATATTTAATTATTTAAAAATAAATAATTAAATAGGACCAGGGTATATGGCTAAGCCTTATGGTGGACTCCATACAGGCGTGTTTGTGTTTGCCATTGATGTGATTTTTGTGTGGATATATTCGTTGCATGTGTTTTACTGAAAATGTCGATTGTACCGTTCTCATTGAGAACGGGATTTCCGGGTTCAACCCGGGCTACTCACTAAGCAGTTGTGCTTAGCCCTCGTGGTTTCATATTTTTCCAGATCACGAGGATTACGCCTAGCTCATCGGACGACGACGACTGGAGAGCAGCAGCATCATGTACGGGATTTGTTTTCCTAACTCCAAGGATATGTATTTTCCGATATTTTTGTACGGTTTAGTTATGACTATTCGGACATGTGTTGATTCGCGATACTAATCGCTTGTTGTACTTTCCGCTGCTACTTTGATTTAAGTTAAAAATGTTTTGTTTTCCGCGTTTTTCGCTTCCGCAAATTTGTTAATTTAATATTTTATTCTATATCGTCCATGTGGCACAGCCCGTATACTGTACACGGGTTACGGGTGTCACATCATCATCCGCAGCACTGTCATAATCAACCAAATCCTCTTCAACTAACCTATCTACCCTTTGCTTGACTGGAGTGGGCTGAGATATATGGTGGTCTATGTATACATCTAACTCCCCACAAAAGGTTGCCATTTCAAACATTAACTTCATGTCATTATCCCCACATCCTTGCACCACATGTCTCTTCTCATCCAAACTCTCATATGGTAATTTAAACCATACGTCTTTGAGTGCACCACTTATGTTATGAGATTTAACAAAATCTTCCACAAAACTCCAAGACATAATATTCATATCAACCATAACACCTTCCTCCACAAATCCATTAATGTAATAGCTTTTTCCGTCTATTTCTTCCATACTTCCAGCCATATGAAAGTTGATTTTACACCAACTAAAAAATATGAACGCATTCTATCACTATCTATTCATAAAATATACCACCTTCCAATCAACAGCAAAACTAGAAACTTACCTCATTTTCGAAGAAATCGAGTTGTAAACCCGAGGGTCTGCTGTATCACCAAGATCCACAAACACCGATATCTATAAACCACGAGCACACAATCAGACATTTCTGAAATTCCACAATCGTCTACAATCGAGTTCCTCTCAATATATCACACCATTACATATTTCTATATTCTCTAAGCTCAAACCGCCATCAAACAACATCATCAACCTATAATATCACATAACCCAATTACACTATCACATAAATACACAAAACCAGAGGATTAAGACTAAAAAACACAGGGGAGAAAGTCGCGGAACATTACTGTCACGTCGGAGAAGGAGATGTTCACGTCTGAGGAGGGTGTCGCCGGAATCGAGTCCGCGTGTCGTCGGAGTAGCGACTGAGTCTCGCCGGAATCGAGGATGGAGTCGATGGGCTGGAGAGAGATGATGGATTAGAGTGGGTATCGTGGTCTGGAGTGGATATGAGAGTCAACAGTAAGGCCGGGAAAGGATCTCGCCGGAGATGAGGCTCGCGGTGGAGAGGACTGTCCGGCCGGAAGGGGCTCTCACCGGAGAAATCAGAGTCTGCCGACTATTGGGGATTTGGAAATTAGAAGAAATGGTGAGTGTGGTGTTTTGGAGGGAGGAGGTCGAATTAGGTTACAACAGATTTGGATTCAAGTCCGAATCTCGCCGGAGTTGAGGCCGAGTGTAGCCGGAGTTGCGGCCGACGATGGTGTCGGTTTTGAATCTCGCTGGATGAGAGTGAGTGTGGGTTTTGAAGAGAGGAGCTCGATTTTGAGGAATTAGGTTACAGCATATTTGGGTTTTTTTTATGTTTTTTCAATTTTTTTTCCGGTTAAATGTGCAAACCGACTCGGTTTAATTGGTGATTTTGCGGTTTTTCGATTTCACACGTGGCGTATACATGTGGACAGTTATTCTGACGTGTCGTGCCATATCACCTACGATTTTAACGAAATTGTGTTCCGTTTCACGCCGTAAGCCGTTGTGTATGAGATTGGAATCAATTTCAATAGTTCGTGGGGGAATTTGGGAAGATTTTCATTTCGATGTAACTTTTTGGAAAATTCAAAATTCGTGTAGGAAATTGGAACTTTAAGTAAAATTGGTGGGGAAATATGGGATTATGCCAATAGATTATTAATTCGCATAAAGCCCTATTGAATACATTATGATAATGCTTGGTCCCATAAAATAATATGCTTGATTTCCAAATAAGCCGCGTGACAATGGAATTTGAGGAATAAACAACATCAATGATGCGAGAACCAAAGAGGGTCAATAAATATTATAGAAACAAGGTGAATAAATATCATGGAATTGTCCCATCATCATCATCATCATCATCATCATCCCTCTCTCTGCAAACCTAACTCAGGTACTCTCTCTCTCTCTCTCTGGTATTAATGGAACCTGTTCAAAACATTTGATTATGGAGTTTGATTCTTCATATATCATAGTAATATTGTTCTTATTTTAATTTTAAAATTTTTTTTCTTGTCGTGGCATCAGTGCATGCATCATCATCCCCTATTTCTGCTTTTCTTTTGCTTTTTCGGCCATCAAAAATTCCAAAAAGTTAACATTCAAGTTTTTGTAAAATTACTTTTATTAAAAATTTGGAAACCCGTTTTGATAAAAAAAAAAAATCAATAAAAACCAAAAACTATAACAAAAAACTCAAAATAAAAACCATAATAATAACATATACAAACACACAATACAAATTATTAGCTAAATAGTAGTACTAATTACTGTCAATTACCATTCCTTTGTTCAGTTTCGATTTTACCAGAGTCAACATTATTTATTTATTTTATTCTATAATTATGTTTGACAACAGTGTAAATGGCTAGAGAATAATTTGGAATTTGGGGTTTCCACCTAATGAATAACATGTGAACACGTTCGTCCTGCCTAACACAAACAAATGAGTAAAATAACATTATTTCGGGGTCAATTATTGCAGTAACTAACCTAATAAAATATTTAAGGCAATAATTACATATCCATAATTAAAAGTCAATAATATATAAAAATCAATATTCATAATATCTACAGATCCGAGAATTAGTAAAACTGTGTGGCGGTAACAAAATTACATTGATGTGATTTTTTTTTTTTTTTGCGTTACTCAATATTCGCATGTCGCATTCACATGGGCTATTAATTCAGAGTCAACACATATTCTGGATTCTAAAATTGGTTTCGTTGTCGGGTCAGCGTAACTAAAGATTCACTGCGGTAAAAATGCCATCCTGGGACGACGGGAAACACACGAAGGTGAAGAAAGTGGTGATTACGCATGGTGACGTCATCAACTCCGTCCAGTTCGATTACGACGACAACGGCAACACTACCGATTCACAGCGACGTGGCGATCTCGGATCTAACTCTAATTGGGTTAGTCTCAGTTATGTTCCGATTTCCACATTCAATTTTAAACCCTAAATTCTGAACGCTAATCGAATTTGAAAATGTCTTTCTTTTGGGTTGAAATTATAGTATGAATAAATTCATGATAATGGAAAAAGAATGGCAGAAATAAAAAATCTTTCTATTTTTAATTTATTATTTTTAGAAAAATAAATCATTTCTATAACAAACTTAAAATATAAGACATTTTTAATCAATTAGGAGTTGATATTTTTTTTATTCAAAATTAATAATTGATAAATCTTTATAATAAAATTAGAGGTTTTTGAATAAATAAGAGAGTTGGTATTTTTTTTTTCTGGAGTTTGTGCTAAAAGAAACCGTATGTTATTTTAATAAAACTAAAATAATTTTACCTTTTATTTTTTGTATTTTTGGTTGAGATGTGGAATTGCAGTTCATGCTGGAACCCGACGAGTACATGACCAGCATCAGTGGCTACTACACGACCAGACAGAACGGGCAAGAAGTTATAACGTCGTTATCGTTCACCACCAAGAGAGGAACATATGGCTCTTACGGAAAGAAAACCGGAAACTATTTCTCCCTCAAGTCTCCCGAGAACAACCAGATCGTCGGTTTCAATGGAAGCAGCAGCGATGTCCTTCACTCCATCGACGTTCACTTTGGCCCCATTGTCGCCACCGACGTCGTGGAAAAGGTGGGAACACGAGGAGGAAAAGGAGGCAAGGAATGGGACGACGGAGCGAATCACGACGGCGTGAGGAAGATCGTTGTCGGAGTTGGTCGGACAGGCATTCACTACGTCAAGTTCGATTACGACAAGAATGGGCAACTCAAAGACGCACCACTAGTACTCCACGGATCTACAACTGGATCATCTTCACCAACACAGGTATGAATTCACATGAAAAGCTCTCTGCTTTCACAGTTTGAACACGACATTTTTGTCATCTTTGTTTCATTTTAGTTAATCTCTTGACAGTTCGAGATCCACCATCCCCACGAGTATCTTACATCGGTCGTGGGTTACCATAAGGGTGACATCGTTCAGGGACTTCAATTCAAAACCAACAAGAAAGATTCTCAGGTCTTTGGATATGTTGATGGTACTAAGTTCACTCTTGAGGTCAAAGATAAGAAGATTGTCGGTTTCCATGGATTCGCTGATACGACTCTCAATTCTCTCGGAGCCTACTTTATACCCATTTCCTCCTCTTCCTCGTCTTCCATTGATAAAGTGGAAGCCCGAGGCGGTAAAGGAGACAATGAATGGGATGATGGAGCAAACCACGACGGCGTGAAAAAGATTGTCGTTGGAATTGGGAGGAAAGGCGTCCACTGTGTCAAGTTGGACTACGACAAGAGCGGACAGCTCGAAGATGCACAACTCCATGGCTCTACCAATGGAGCTTCCTCACCATCTTTCACAGTATAAACTGACACTTTTGCACCCTTATTCGGTTTGATACGATTTGCTTCAACATTAATCATCCATTTTTGTGATCTTTTCTTTTTATGATCTCTGCAGTTTGAGATCGACCACCCCAATGAGTATATCGTATCAGTTGTGGGTTACTACTACGTTGAAAACATTCAGGGGCTACAATTCAAAACCAACAAGAAAGAATCTCGGGTCTTTGGATACGACGAAGGTACCAAGTTCACGCTCGAAGTCAAGGACAAGAAGATTGTCGGGTTTCATGGGTTTGCCGGTACAACTCTCAATTCTCTCGGAGCTCACTTTGCACCGACGAGTAGTTCTACGGTGAATAAATTGGAAGCCCAAGGCGGTAAAGGCTAAACCACTTTCGATGACGGAGCTTTCGACGGCGTGAGAAAAGTGTACGTGGGACAAGGTGATTCCGGTGTGGCTTACGTCAAGTTCGAGTATGTCGAACCACGTGATCACGGGACGATGACAATGCTCGGTGTAGAAGAGGTAGCAGTTTCTTCTTCTTCTACCTCTAACCTTTTCTTGATCGGTGTTCTTGGTTCGCTTACGATGTCTCGGAAACGATCTCAGTTCGAGCTCGAGAAGGGTGAATACATCACATCGGTGGAGGGTTACTACGACAAAATCGTTGACCATCAAACTGAAGTTATCGCGGCTCTTATTTTCAAGACGTCCAAGGGGAGAACCTCTCAACGGTTTGGAATGGCGGCTGGTACGAAATTCGAACTCGACGGCAAAGGCGGCAAGCTGGTCGGGTTCCACGGCAGCGTTGGAGGAGAAGTTGTTCATTCTCTCGGAGCCTATTTTGCTCCATCGCCCACTCCATTGACCCCCGCCGAAAAGTAAAGAACAGCCAAAATCCAATCTCTCCATGAAAGTGTGGTCTGCTTTGAGCATATTTGCCTTATGTTGTGCAAATGTGTATGAATTTAATGTTCCGTGTTATATTCAATAATAAATGCGTGAATGGTGTTGTGGTCGTAGCAGTAACGCTATATGATGATGGCTAATCACATTTACACGTCGGAAAATAGACTAATCAGCTTCGACATTCAATAGGACATTCAAATATATACAAGTCTAATAAAGCCGTGGTATTAATCAATCAAGATAATTCCTGGTCCCATTAAATATTACGATAATTCTGGATTAGCAGATGGCATAAAATAAATTAGGATATTTTAACAGAGCCCAATACTTTACTTTCCGTGTAATGGTGGAAATTGATGGGAATAAATAGGGATATAAAACGAGCCGCGGATCGCGGGTCGGCTCGTGAGTCGGCTCATATTATTCTGGGTTGGGCTCAAAATATTTGAGCCATAAAAAACCAGGGTATTTT